CACACACACACACACACACACACACACACACACACACACACACACACACAAACATACATATATATATAAATGTGATGTTTTCTTTTTCCTCTTCGCCCTCGGTGCTATAAATAGCCCCTTTTCTTACGTAAACAAAAAAGACGGACTTTTGAATATTTTCCACATTCATGATGACATTCCAGCAAGCACCACCGAAGAAGTTTTTTGAATCTGTTCTGTTTGGTGCCATGGGGGGCAGGGGAGGGTCCTGGTCCTGGTTCTGACCTGGTTTGACCTGGAGCAGAATGGTACAGCTTCTGCACCCTCATCCTCGTTTCGGTTCCACATTTGCAGGGGGAAAAAAATGGGCGTTCGTTCATTGAAAAAAAAAGAACAAACTTCAATAGTTTCCATCTATATGGTGTTTTTTTTTTTTTCCCTCAGTGGTTTGAGATCCATTTTTTTCCCACCCCCCCAAACACTAGAGTTTTGTGATGTGTTCTCAGCAAATGGATCCTATTTGTAGATGCTACAGGCTTCAATTGTTTGGGGTTGGGGTTTGACGATGCTGGAACAGGCTGACCTGGGGTCTCCGGGTGCTACAAGGCAGAGTTTGTCCGAATCCTGAGGAAGTCCCTAATCCCCTCTTTCCATGTTTCCGTGAAGGAAAAAATGACTGAATCAGATTAGGTTGGGGGGGGGGCGGTGAATCTGGGTCCCCAGGTCACAGAGCTAAGATAAGACTCCTCTAGTTTCCATATCCCAGAGCTATGCCCCCCCCCACCACCAGTGGGTCGAAGGCTTTCTGTTGAGTCTGTTTTTTTTTGTGTCACGGTGCCTGTCACCCGTCGTGAGAACATGCCGCGCTGCAGGGCCACAGTGATGACGGCGGCGGGGAACATTACGCACGGCGCGATCGCGTCGCCCATTAGCTGGCACACTTTATTGTCATTGTTCTTTAATAAAACCGCACCGGGCCAAGGCAGTTCTGGTTAATTATGCTGAGGTACAACCACACCCGCTGCCTGGAATTGGCGTGTTAGTCTTTTGTCCGTAACCACCTCCCTACCTAGAATAATAAAGATTTAAATTAGTTTAGCTCGTTGGTAGGTTGCCGCGTGCCAGTTTACGAAGTCCTGCTCTAAATAGAAGTGGTCCAGGAACTAAACTGAACCCTTTGCACCCCCCTCCCTTGTTTGCGGCCCTCTGTGTTTGTGGGGAGTTCAGGAATGGACCCCATCGTGGCCTCCCAGTGTCAAATCCCACCTGGTGGTGGTGAGGGGGTGTTCATGAGTGTGTATGTGTGTGTGTGTGTGTGTGTGTGTGTGTGTGTGTGTTAGCTGATAAACGGCCACCTCTGTTCACGCCTTGGTTTGGTGTAGGCGCTCGAGTCACATGCACCCCAGCCGGTGTCGAGAATGTTTCTGACTAGCCCCGCCCAACCCCCCCCAACAACCCAGCACCCTCACCTGTTCATGGGAGCTCGGTGTAACAGAGCCAGCAGATGAGGAGAATGATAAAAGACACCGAATCCCGGAGCACTTTAGCAGAACGAAGGTTGCCCTTGTCTGGTGCAAACCAACACCCTCTTGTTTTGAGGTTTATTCATAGCCCTTGTGTACATAATATCGGCCCCAGGGCATGCTGGGAAGGAGGCCTCCATTCAGGTGTTGAAAGTGCAGCTCAGACTTAATGAACCTCACCAGGTCCTGCTGTTTCAGTGCAAACCCCCCCCACCACCACCCCCCTCTCTCTGGAGCTGGAATCCCATTAGCATATTAAGGAGGAAAAGGAAAAAGATGTTCTACCCCCCCCCAGAACCAAATTACAGAAGAAAAAACTAATGTGGTGTTTTTCTCATGCATGCTGAGCACCTCCTCCTATTTTCTTCTGTCTGGTGTGTTTGGGGAGGGGGCCGCTTTGTGTGGATTATGTTAGTGTGATTACTCAGTCCACAGTGTCTGCCCACAGTGTCACCAAGCCTGACGGTCACTACAGCCTGTTTTACTTTAATTAGCCACGTCTTTTTGCTTCTTGTGAATTAAAGTGGAATTTTCCAGAAGGCAGTCAGGTCACTGTCAAGTTGATTTGGAACCCGTGACCTCAGCTCGCCCACGTTTAGGATTGGGAACCGTCCCCACGACGACCTGTCACGGGGTGGACTGAAGCTGCCGCAGGGCGCCTGGGGGGGCAAGGTCCTCCTGAACACTGTCCCACCCCATAAAGGACTGAGGTGTTCCTGTTGTCCCCTAGAGATGATTTGGGCATTTCTTATGGATGCTGATGTCATTTTAGGGAAAATTCACATGCAGGACAGAATTTAATTAACAGCGGTGACATATGCATAGGTGTGGTCGCGTAGATGAAGACAATAGTAGAAGCGATTAATGAGTTTGATTCCTGGGAATCGTTTACTTGTAGGTCTTTGCCTTGAGCGAGTAGACAGATGGGGATTGGAAACGGCATGTGACCCCAGAGAGGAGTGGTTAGTTTAACCTCACTGTGAACTGTGTGCTCAGTAGCCCTGTGATGTCACTAAGCCCCACCCTTCCCCCCATCCATGGCCAGAGCGCTCTGATGACACTTGGTTGCCATGGCAGCGGTACGGACGCCCCCGAGAGAAGGGTAACTCGCTGTTCTCCTCCATATAATAACAGCTATTTATAGACAGCCCTGTTTGCCGGAGGGGAAGGCAAAGACATGGGGGGGGGGTTAGAAAATCCAGCCTGATTCTTTACTCTGTGAGCCACAAATTCCACATGTTTATTTATTTAATTAGCAGTCTCAGTTTGTTAATTGTTTTTTTGGCGTATTTAATTTCTGCATTTGAGGGCAGTGGATGGGTGGGGGGTAATTGTCCTTGTTTGTGGTTAGGTTTGTACCCCCCCCCCACATTTCTTTAATGTAACAAGACAATCCCAGGGGCGTTATCCAGACAGCTGCGCAGATTTCAAGGAAAGGGGTGATTTTTTTATTTTTTTGCGCCTTTCTCGGCGTTGGGGATAGGCCTGTCCTGCACTGGGCGGGTGCACCTGCTTGGGGTGATGAGGGGGTGCGGTGTTATGGGAAACGTACCAGAAAACCAGGAAGGGAGACGTATGTCCGTGACCAGTGGCGGTGTAGAGGACTGGCATGGTTTCAGAATTACGGAGACAACATGTCTCCCACGTACAGAATGGATCAGGCCGAGACTGGTGGCGACGGACATGTCTTTCATTGTTTGTTTTTTATTTCTGCTGGTGTATACCCAACACTATAGCATGAAGACAACCCCAAGGGTGACCAGGTCTGCACCAGCCGTGACGTTGGGCCGGGGGGGGGGGGCGCAACCTAAGAGCCTAACGTTTCATTTATTCAGAGGACGCTTTTATCCAGAGCGACGCACGATTGACAGAGTTTGGTCAGCCAGTCGTTGGAGCGATCGCAGCGAAGGGCCTTACTCAAGTGCCCAACAGTGGCATCGGTTTGCCAGCCCCAGGATTCGATCCAGCAACCTTCCGGTCACAGCCGTGCAATTTGAACCCAGTGAGCCACACGCTGCCCCCATGCTGGCTTGTATAGGGTGACCAGATAATCCATGTCAGGGAGGACACTTTGAGCTACTTCAGGTTTTACGGGATACTTTAAAACCGAAAGGCTTCTGTGTTTGCCTAAATAGTTATATGTTCTTTTGTCATTTGACTGGTTTGTTTCTTGGATTGAAAGACACGTCCAGCGGATGCACATTAACATTAGTGACACCTGCTTGATTACAGGAGACTGACCAATCAGCACACAGCAAGAACTCTGTGCTTAAGTGAAATTCAGGTTTTTTTTTATTGAAATGGTAGTTTACAAATCCTGCCCTAGATCAATGTGTCCTCCCACATGTTTTTTGGGAACATATACACTGTTCTCATCAAATAACCGCTAGTTACTTGTCTATGTTTACAAATTGCTTATCTGGTTTATCAGACATGCGAACTAAGCTTGCTGAGCTAATCTGTTTTGCTTTCGTTCTTTCGATCCTTTTGTTTAGAACCTGTAGGCTTCAGCCTATATGAAATTACATTGACCCACTTTTTATATGGTATCTGTACAGTTCTATAAAATAGTATATTGTATATAAAGACCTGGACTATAAATGGTGTCCGGTTTTGAAGTGTTTATTGTTTATTTAATTTTTTGAATCAATATAAAATAATGTAAATATGGTTTGTGTTTTTATCCATCTGGCAGTAGTGGCCCATCTTGTGGCTTACACTGTCCACCCATAGTGCATTGCAGCTGTGCGGGGGGAGGGGGGGGGATTTCCTCAACAAACAGCGGAGGTTGTTCCTTTCGCTGACGGGTTCGCGCGATACGCCCTGACTGTTCTGAGGAAGAGCCTTTGCTCTGAAATGCCAGCAGCTTGCGTCTCCCCAGTGTCAAGCAGGCCTGCAATTGCCTTGCTTACCTGCCGTTTCTTTTCCCCTCCTGTTTTTTTTTTATTTTATTATTTTTATAACGGGGGGGGCGGATCATTCTCTTTTGACTGAAGGTGCAAATCTCACCAGGCATCTGGGTGAAAGTTCAAGCTGAAAATGACTGTTAGACACTTTGAACCATTAGCAGGCTTTTGAGTGTTTCATGGTAAGTATCTACAACTGATTTGTATTTTTCTGAACGAGATCAGCTTGGGGAAAAGGAAAAGGTTGCCCCTTCAGGATGTTTCTGACCTTGAGGAAGTTGGTCCCTCTCCTTGCTTTGCTCTAATTTGTTTGAGCGATTGGTTTCATATTCAGTTGTTCTTGGCCACACTGTAACTGTCCAGATTCCTGAGTTTATCATAACTGAAATTCTCGTCTGTCTGTCCAAGTCTGGTACAGGATCCCCGCAGCGTGCAAAGCACCGCAGGCCTCGCAGCTGAAAACCTCACTCCTATCTGCTAACTGATCCCCCCCCCCCCATTTCTGTTTTGTGACATGTCGCCGCCTGCAGGTGAAACTGATGAAGTACATCAGCAAGCAGCTACAGTGTAAACAGAAAGTGCCGGACAGCGAGAGACCCCAGGGTCTGGGAAGCTACCCCCGGCTGACTGACTGGCTGCGGACTGTCAACCTGCGACCTGAGGTCATAGAGGTACTGCTGGGGGGGCGGGGGGTCCGGGCAGATCAACCGCTTACTGGTGCAAAGACAGTTAGCAGAGAATTTGTAGCATGGCGGATGAGTCATCATGAGGTCAAAGGTCACCCGGCAGTAAGCCAGTGGGCCTGTAAGGGTGTCAGCAGGTGCTGGGTGGTTGGTTCTAACCCCATGCCCATGGCCTCTGCGGTGCTCTCGTCAGAGTTCCGTGGCTCTTCTGACTTCCACAAAGGAATTCTGACTTCACTGACAGAGGTTGTCTTTGTGCTAACAGACTCTGCGCCAACCATCTTGTCCTCTGTCCATTGCATTGTCTATGGCAAATGTTCATAGGCTTTATTTATACTGTAGTTTCAATTCTGTTTACCAAATATTCATACTTGTCTAAGGAGAGTTTATCTAAGCAGAGAAAAGTCTAATTTTGCCTATAGATGGCCGTTGCTACTGAACAAACGTTAATGAGGCCGCAGCTTTGTGATGGTTTTAATTAAAAAATTGTATCATTTGGACGTAAAATCCATCTATTGTTTGATGGGCTGAAGTGGCTCTTTAATTACTGGCTTGCTAGTAGCGCTGGTGAAAGTGGGACGATAACTTTTAAAGGGCTTCTTTTAACACCCAGTGCCTGGTAGGAGTTCTGTGACTCTGACTCACGCTGCTCCCTGCCTTACTGACAGCAACCGGTCTTTCTGGGATTACAAAATGAGCGTGACAGTTTGACGGGGCCTGTGCCAATCTCCTGCTGGAGGCATATATCACTAACATTACCATTAGTGACACGCACAGGGATCCGGGATCCTGAGCTGCCCGATTTGAGATTCCCACAAAGGTTTTCGCTCCAACTTGGTGTCAGTTGTTGATCTACAGTAAACTGCAGCGGTCAATCATTCATCTGTATATTTGGGACCATTGTGTGTTGTGTTGGATTAAAGAGGTGATATACTGTAGCGATATAGTAATTGTAATGTCGAATACTCTTTGAGATCCTCTCTACAGACAGTCTAATTATGGTGAGCATTGGCCGATTCCCTTGGGACGGGACGGGGTGGGGTGGAGGGGGGGGGTAATTCGGAGCTGCTTCCCAGCACAGGAAATGACTGTGTGGAAAACTGGGTATTTGTGTGGCTCTGACTGAGTCACAGGAGGAGTTGTTGTCCCCCACCACCACCACTCCACCTCTCCAAGTCCTTCTGCCGGTCACCATTCAGCCGTTATGCCAGTTTGACTTCAGCTTAAAGCGAATTACCGTTTTCCCCGTGCGTGTGAACCATGAACCATTCACACTGTAGACCTTTTGAGGCGGCACGCTCGTGCTTTTTCGGTGTGTTGGAACACGAGCGCGTTTTGGAAGGAGCGACGATGTTTGTTGTCACATAAGCAGTTGTGTTTCCACTGTTAGATGCACGCGGCAAGCGCCTTCGTGGGCCCCTTCACACCTCGCTCCACCTTCATGGTTTTTCGGGTCAGCTCTGCAGGGAGGGAGGGGTGGATTTAAGTGAATGAGAGAGGCTCAGGTGGGGCACAGGAGGGGGCCGACCCCGGGGGAGGACGGGTGGGGTGGAAGGAAGGTAAGAAAGTGAGAGACTGCAGGAATTTGATGAGAGGGAGGTGGGTGGGGTGCAAGGCCAGCTTCTCCACCTTGGGTCACCACCGTCGTTATTGTCTTGTGTTTTACTGCAGCACTTCGTGTTAATGGAACGTTGTCAAAGGGGCGTGACGTCGGGGCTAATGCGTCCCAATGCATCACCCCTCCCCAGACTAACAGGAGTGATGCCCCTTTAGCTGGTGCATTAACGCGTGATGGTGAAAGGGAAAAGATGAATGTAGCAGATCTTCTTACAGCGTTGCATCCCTGTTTCTTCAATGTTCTGAAGTACCTCCCGCATTCTGAATTTGCACCCACCGAGGGGTTTGACTTTGGGTGCATTGTCCCCCCCCGCCCCCCCAATCATATTCCACAGCGTGGTCACATTCCTCATGCTGTAGGCCACTCCCCCAACACGGAAGCGCTTCTATTCCGAGAGAATTTGTCAAGTCAGCCTGACGCCTAAGCCCCTCCTCCACAAACCCCACCATTTTTACACCCCCACCCCCACCCAAGTGAGCAGGCCCATCCGTCACCCATCTCACCCCCTTTCTGGTCACGTGACCTACGTGGGCGTCTCTCCCTTGCTGGTCCAGACGTGCTTTCTGGTTCCTTCCTATGCCAGCTGACGCATCCCCCCCCCCCCCCCATCGCAGTTCAAAGCGGCGCAGGCAATGCGTCTCCGTGACTGTGTCGCTGGCAGCGCCGTGGCATTATAAGTGCCAATAGCATGGTTTTAATCATCCTTACAGCATTGTTTATGGTGTAGGCAGTTAGGAATCCGCTAGGTACAGACAGGACTGGGCCATTCCTGGCCTTAGGATTAAATTTATACGTCCCATTTTCTCCCATAAGCCGTGAGCCTAAGTGGACACAGGCTCATGGATTGGGGTGCGACCAGCTGGCTCTCATTAGCGTTCAGTTTGACATCGTTGCTACATTTACATTAATTCATCTATCTGACGCTTTTGTCCAAAGCGACTTACAGTGGAAGGAAGGCTTACGGTTTATGTGTGGTCTGTGGGATTTGAACCTACAGCCTTTGTGTTGTTAGCGCTTGTTGAGTTACAGGGACTACAGCAGTATTTTTGTGTCTTTGGGTCTCTGTGTTTGGGTCCTCGTATCTGCCCGGTGTGTCACTGAGGATGACTGAAACGGCACTGAACCCGCACCCCACCTCCGTGACTAATGCCCCCCTTTCATCAGGCCACGTCTCCCAAGCTGAGAATCTCAAGTGCCGCGAACTGGATTGTTCCCGATACTTGTGAGCTGGGTGCTTTGTGGGCCAGACTTGTCAGGAACGAACTAGATTCATGACTTTCTTTTTTTTCCATTTCATTTTGTTTTGTAAGAAAGGAAGAGGGTGAGCTCAGCAGTGCTGTGAATGGTGGGGGAAGGGGTGGGGGGTGGGGGCTAGGTCAGGTCACACCAGCACTGGCAAGATGACGACACAACAGTCCACAAGCTGTGTGCGTGTGTGTGTACGTACATGTGTGGGGAAGACGGGGGCAGAGAGGAGTAGGAAAGGGGCGGGGCCAGCTGCTGGGTAGGGGGGGGCGGGGCAGGGGGAGGGACTGTGTCTGTGTGTGTGTGGAACCAGGAAAGCAGCCCTCACAGTGCGACTGCGACTGGGAGCAAGGAGCACGGCGGCCGCATCTGCAGGACATGCGAGAGCCGGTCACGCCATTCATGTCTGCGGCGCCCTGATGGTATGTAAACGGCCGCATGGCCCGGCGGCGGCGGCGGCGGCGGTAGCTCTGTTGGCTTCCTGCCACCTCTTTCTCTCTCGCCGCAACTTCTTTTTTCCGGTTTGGGGTTTGCCGTCCTGCACCGCTCGGTTTTTACGGGGCTGGGTGTGCGGAGCCCGTCACGTAAATAACTCTGGTGCTCTGAGGTGGGACACCGACTTTATTTATTTTTTTCCTTCTCCCCGCTTCTCAATGGGAGCGCGGAAGCCATTGTGTTGACTCCCCCCCCCCCCAGCCCCCAGCCGCCCAGTGTGTCAGTGTAGGTTACACTGTGCTCTTGGCTTTTACACACTGTCAGACAGTTTCATTTTGGCTGACTTTTTCCAGCCTGCGTATAAAGTTTTTTGTTTGTTTGCTTGTTTGTTTATTTGTTGGCTGGTTCGTTTGCTGGATGGGTTATCGGCGGTGCTTGTGACGTTGGTGTAAATATTCCTCCCTGGCTCTCCCTTGGCTCCTCAGCACCTCCCTTGCTTGTTCAGCCTTATTAGTTGGGACATGTCCAGGCACTATCCCTGTGGTATCGGTATGTGTCAGCCATTTTACGCTGTCAGTTCGGTCCTAACCTGTCTCCGAACCCCCACCCCCTAACACAAGACGGTGGTCACACACGTGCGCATACATGCCCCCCCCTCCCACACACACACACACACACACACACACACACACACACGTGAGTCCACCAGGGTATGCTCCATGGGAACCGCACTTCAAACATTTGCGTTCAAGGTTTGCGTCTGAGACACGCATACATGTGCGTGCAAGCTTGTGTGTGTGTGTGTGTGAATGAGGGAGGTGTCGATGTTTGTGCTCCTCTCCGCATGTGTCGCCGTCCATCACGGCCCGCCGCGTCCTCTGGCTCCACGTTGTCCAGACACAGCCTTTTTGAGAGCGGGGGTGGGGGGGGGGGGGGGGGATCTCGTGGTCAGACACTTCTGCCATTGGTTCGATGATTCGAGAGTCAGTTTGGGCCGTTTGTCACTCTGCCAGGACGCTGATTCTCTCGTGCCAGGTTTCTCTCTCGGACTGAGCCCCCGGTAGCAGAACAGAATAATCAGCTGGTACCCTGAGACGGCGCCGCTGGCACACGCCGCCTTTGTGGTGCCGGATCGCGTGCCGGGTGGGAAAACGCGCCCTTTGGGGACTGGGGGTTTGTCTGGGCCGGTCCACAGGGCCAGAGGGTGTGCCCCCCCGGCTAGCTCGGTTCCTGTAATAAAGTCTAACGGGATGGGCCTTTATCAGGGTTTTATCGCCACTGGTCCCCCCCCCACCCCCCCGACCCACCCTGGTTATAAATAAAAATCTCTCATTGGCTGGCCGGTCAGCAGTGGCATATCTGAGCAGTATCAGATGCAGCGTGTGCGTGTGTGTGTGTGTGTGTGCGTGTGTGCGTGTGTGCGGCCGCGCGCGTCTCCGACAGCTGCCCCTCTCGTCCCCGGCTCGGCACACCCCCGCGTCGGTGCCTGTGAAGTTATGCTGCTGCCTGTCTCCCCCCCCCACCCCAACGCCACATTATGCGCCAGCTTAACCAGGACTATTTTTAGCTGCCTCACAAAAGGGATTACCAGAAAAACCAGAGAGACAATAACAGTGTCTAGGATCGTGCCAACTGCACCCCCCCACCCAGTATGTATCTCCACATTCCTCCACCCCCCCTTCCAAATCAAACCTTTACTGTTTCCCCTGCAGTGTCTCCCAGCAAGTGTCCACAGCGATAGGCCTGCTTTTCTAAGAGCAGTTTGTTCATTATGCATGAATATATTATTATGTTGCTTTGGAGATGTTTTTGTTTGAAGCCAGTGGTGCGGATTGTGGTCCAACACCAGTGCTTTTGGTGTGGGCTTTGGGTAGGTGTTCATACTGGCAATTCCGGCAAATTCCTGCTTCGCTGGGAGCCAGAAGAAGCCGTGGCAACATTGGTTCGGCGGCACAGACTCTGCGGCCAGCCTCTGCTTCTTAGTCGAGCATGATCTCCATTCGGGTCGTGTAGTTTGGGGTTTCGTCGTTATCATTCATTCCCCCCCATCCCTTCCCCACCCCGCAGCTGTTTCGTTTGTGGGTTAAAATAAGTGGTCTTTGCAGTAGGGGAGAGGAAGAGCGAGAGGGAGAGCACTCGTGAAAGAAGGTTGTGTCTGGTGCCAAGGCGGTATGCATTTATTACTTCTGTCCCCACCGTGACCCTGGATGACTCCCTTTCATTGCGCTGATTCTCACCCTGTTATAGCTCTGGATATAGGTTGGAATCGGCAGAGCTGGTGGCAAAGCATTCTGGGAATGTGGACAGAGCGATGTGATGCAGACAGGCCATCTGATGCACGGGCTGGTGTCGCACCCGAGCCGGCAGCGTCTTGCGCGGGAGGCGCCGGCGGCCCGGAACAGCGTCACCGGCCGGTCCGGCGGGCTGAATAACTGGGTCATGCATTAAATTTGTGGTTGTGTGTGCGGGGGTGGGGGGGGGTGTGGGTGACCAGTGTCTCCACTCCAAACCTGCTTTTCATGGCCAGTGGGGATGGTGACCCCCTGGGTGCGAATTCCAAGAAGCGCACAGCAGCGAGACGTCACCCCCCCCCCACCCCATGATGACACATAACTGTTCCAACTGGCTTTTTTCGCTCGGCTGTTGCTTGTTGCTGACATGCCGAGTTTATGACTCAGTGTGTTTCTTGTGAAATATTAATATGTCGTATTGTTGCATTATTAATAAGATTATTATGGTTACATTGTTGCGTGGTGGCTGGGGGGGGGGGGGGAGGAAATCGCTGGTGTCACTTACCGGCAGGTTTGGGGGCCGTAACCCCCCTCTGTCAACGCGGGGCATTTCTGTGTCCTGGGTCACGCGGGCTTCCCCCAGATGCACAGGATTCCCCCAAATTCGCTCTGTTAACCGTCGTCCCTGATGTGTGTTGCCGAGTATGGGGGGGTGTGCGTGAGTGACGGAGGACGGGGGTCTCTCCCTGCCTTGTGCTGTATGGGGGCAGCGTGTGGCTCAGTGGGCTAACTCTGTGTGCCTGTAATCAGAAGGTCACCGGTTCAAACCCAGCCTCAGTGCCTCTGTGGGTCAAAGCCCTTAACCCCCAGTCCCCTGGTGCCCCAGCAGGTGGTTGCCCTTCGCAGACAACTTACTCTACAAAGAGCAAGTTGAGGCAGGATCAATAAAGTATCTCTTATTATTATTATTATGCGGGATGGGCTTCCGGGCTGTACTGTGATCCAGGCCCAGATAAGTGGGTGCTTCGTTATTGGATTATTATTACCAAGCAAGACTTAAGATTTATGCCTTTGTCACGTACATAGTTATACAAGTACAACATGTAGTGAACTGTACCTCTGGGTGCCCATAAAACTGTGCATATATAGAAGATATAGAAAACATACAGTGAGTATATGTTTAAGCAATAGTATACCTTTCTATACAGTATACATATATTTTAAGTATAGTAGATATATTTAAGTATATGACATTAACTGTACTTAAATACATTACAAAATTACGATTACAGTTACAGTACTTAAAAACATTACTGCGGTGATAGTGGTGGTGGTGATGATGATGATGAGTGCTTTGTGGGCCAGAGAGAGGAAGAAATCAATCAGGTTCTGTAATTGTAAATCTTAAACTCCTGTTTGAGTCATGTGTTTTAGACCCTCATTTTCATCATTTCCTCAATGGTCCAATGGGCAGTTAAGGATCCCGCTGAAGCGGCAGCTCCTTTGCCGTCTCTTCCCCCGTCACGCTGATGTAATTTCGTGCTGCTCAGCGCTGGGTGTTGGAGCGGCCCAGCTGGTCTGGGCCGGGCTGAGCTGGGTGTACCTGTGCTGACTTGCTGTCGTCATAGCTCTCTGCATATGAACTATGCACGAATAACAACAACAGCTTCCAGTGTGTATTTAATAAATGACTCTTTAAAATAAATGCTCTGGAAAAGATTTATGGACATAAGTGTGAGGTTTGGGGGTGTTTCCTGTCTTTGGGGAGGTGGAGGTCGGACAGGTAACATTGGTGCTCCACCCTTACTCAACTTGTAGCTGGGATCTGAGTTCTCCCCAGTGCTCTGATCCCCTTCCCCAGTCCAAACGCATTCCCTTGACCAGCTATCCTGCTTGCATGTGAATATCAGACCTCAGGTCTTCTTGATTTTGTTCAAATAAGTAACGTTTAAAAGGAAATCTACAACATGCTGCTTGTGACACTTCAACAGTCTGTAATTAATCATGTAAGTTTGTGGTGTTTATCGGTGTAGCCTTTGCCAGTTACTCCTTTAGTCGGCCAACTGTGGATTCATACTCTGACCTCATCTTGCCTAAAACTTCCCCCTTCCTCTCCCCTAAGGCTGTGTCAGGGAAACTGTCCCTGGATACACTGCTACAGATGTCCGGATCCCAGGTGCGTGACACAATGAGGAAGCTAGGCTCCAGCTCGGAGGAGTGCTCCCGGCTCACTGCTGCCCTCTCCTGTCTGAAGAGCGCCGCTGAAACAGGTCTGTGCTTGGGGGTCTCTGCTAGGCTATGATCTGTGCCTGAGTCAGTTCCTGCAGGAAATGTGACCAGTGCTGTTTGCAGGAAGCCGTGTCATGAGGTAAAGTTGTATTACGCGTGCAGTGACAGGTCGCAGTGAGGCATTGTGTGGTTCCGAGCGTGACTTGTTCGCTTGCCTCCCACAGGAGGGGAACTTAGAGAAGATGGTCTGTGGATTTCAGAGTCCGTGCGGAGAGACAGCGGCTCCTCGGTTCCCACCGACCAACTGTTGTGCCCCATGGGGTCCCTACGGCCCCATAGCCCCTCCCCCCTGGCTCGCCCCGCCGGCTCCACCTCCACCCCCTCCCCGCCCTTCAATCCCGGCCTCCAGCTCCGCTCTGTGTCCGACAGCCTGGGTCCTCAAATCTTTGCCGACGGCCAGCTCGACGCCTTCCCGCCCTCCCCCAGAATGCCCCGTGCCTTCAGCCAAGCCGCCACGCCGCCCATCACCCCTCCATCCAAGAGGCGGCCCCAGCTGAAGCCCCCCCGCACGCCACCGGCCCCGTCCCGTAAGCTGCTGCACTTGCTGCCAAACATCACGCTCACGCGTAGCCGGAGTCACGAGTCACAGCTGGGGAACCGCATCGAGGAGCCGGTCGCTAACAGGTAGGTCGCCTAGAAGTCTGGCGTCTCCCAATTACAGACTGGACCCATTTGAGCCGGAGTAACTGTTCGATCCCCACCCGTGTCAACATGGATATTTCCAGAACTTACACTGTCAATAGATGGTCTCCTTATTGGTGCTGTTTGTATTGACATTACCTTTGACAGTCATGGGTTCAGATTCAGCCCATGGAGTGTGTGTGTGTGTGTGTGTGTGTGTGTGTGTGTGTGTGTGTTGTAGCGAGCTGTTGTCCTGTTTGGACTGTACACTGCCCCATGTCCTTCCAGAGATTCTGGACCTCTGAAACTTAACTGGGTAATGGTAATGGAAAAAGAAAAAAAAACTGAGTAATGACCCTATACTATTCTGGTAGAACCCCCTACTGGGTGCACATAACAAGCTGTATTTTGCTTTACGAAACGACCCTGTGACTGTTCAGGTGCTCTGATTGAAAGCTGGCAGACACGGTCAGTCTGGCTGAGATGGAGACACTGCGGTTCGTTCGGGCTTAAATGGTGCCATCTCCCTTTCAGCAGGTGCACGAAGAAGAACAAGCTGTTGCTGAAGGTGCAGATCAATGGCAGTGGCATTGTGGTCGAAGACTCCCCGTCGCGTTCGCCGCTGCTCTCTGTCCGCACCCCGGGCGCTGTCTCCACCCCTAATACAGCCTCCTACACCCTGCCCGCCACGCCCACGCTCCTGGAGGAGCGCCTCGTCGTTAAAAGTGAGTGCTTCCTTAAAATAGCTGCTGCTTTCCATCCAGGACACGCCCCCACTGTGTCCCTATTCGCTACCATATGTTGATTGCTACATAGAACTGCACTGCCCGTGTTGTTGCCCCGCCCCCTTTCCCTTGTCCTACGTGATCTCTCATTTTGGTGCTAAGCAGGCTCTTTAATCAAATGCAAAAGCATGCAAATACCAATGCAGTGTATGCCTGTGTTATCACAGGGTGATTGGGAGGATGTCGTGATCTCAGGTTTGTGTAGTCATGTGGATTGGCGTTGCCTATGTACTTGTAAGTTTGGAGGCCAAACATTGCTTAGGAAATGGCAGGGTGCCCGTCCACAGCGCCGTGGGGGCCGGCCCCATCCGGCCTCACCGAACAGCTGGTCCCGCGTGAAAGAGATTCGATTCGCTTGTCTTTAGTTCGAAAGGGACACGTGTGCCTTTCAATAGACACCGTTGATGAAAATGACCAAAGTCGTCGCCTCCTTTGTCCATCTGTTATCACGATATTAGGGTTGATTACTGTATACCGTGCAGGGGAACCCCCCCCCTACCCCCCCATGGTCAGCCACATCACCTGCCCCTCCAAGTCTGTGCATATCACCGCTGTATTCTGTGTTATACAGTTACAGTATTCCATCCTTCATAGCTGCAGTTCAGCTCCCTACCAAGTAAGCACAGGGCACAAGGCAGGGGGCCCCATAAATGGGATGGCAGTGCATCGCAGGGCACACACACACACACACATGTCGGGTATACCTATCCTTATGGGGACCACACATTCACTTCTATGGGAAAAATGCTAACGCTAACTATGACAACCTTAACCCCACCCAGCCCTAACCATAACCATAGGTAACCAAGCAAGATACAAGAGTTTTTACTTTTTTCATAGCAGTCACTGATTTTTACAAAATAGTGTTTTCCTCTTATAAGGATTAGGAAACCGGTCCCCATAAGGGAAAGAATAATGGATACTTATCACATTATGGGGACATACGCATTCTATCACACCCTGAGGACAGTCCCCAGTGTGGGAAACTGGAATACCGTATATAAACATTAATGTTATTATAATTGGCAACCGAAGAAAGACTGAGTTTTATATTCGTCGTGCAAGGAAAAAATTCTTCCAAAATAAGCAGCATGGGCTTTGGGGTTCTTCAAGCAAGTTGCTTGGCTTCTCTGGACCTCCTGTCGTGGGCCATTCACCCCTGACCTCTGACCTTCTACCCTGTATCTTCCTCATCCACCCCCCAGATAACCTGCTGCTACACAGGAGTTCCCAGCAGCCTGTGAGGAGAGACATAGATCTGCCTGTGACCCACAGGTGAGGACGAGCTGAAGGTTTCGCCACAGAGACTGTTGGGGCTTTTCCTTTCAGTGCTGCCCTCTCATACTTGCGTTCTCCTGAACTCCTTCTTGCTTTTCAAGGTTTTCCACAAAGTCCTGGTTGTCCAAGGTGTGTGAGGTCTGCCACAAGAACATGATGTTCGGCGTCAAGTGCAAACACTGCAGGTAGAGTGTGGGCGGTGCCATTCTTAGTTGGCCCTGATTGGATGGCATGCACATCAGTCCTAGCATTGCGTGTCTTAATTGGTGCTCCTATCTCTGCAGGTTAAAGTGCCACAACAAATGCACAAAAGATGCTCTTCCCTGCAAGATATCGATTATTTCATGTAAGTCAAAAACCTCTCTTCTTGACCATAATTTCAAGCCCTGAGAAATAAAAAAAAATATAAGCACCCATTAATTAATGCATATTTGTAATGTAATTGATTGATTCATGAATTGGTGAGGAGATGTCTGAATGGGTTAAAGCTGCAATTTAAAGAAGCTGCATTGGATGCAGTAATTCAATTCTTCAATAACTGTTAAACAAATCAATAAAGAGAGGAATTTTAATAATATCGCCCGATTTGCTAATAATTTAGTCCGCAATTTAGTCCGAAGGATCCGGAGGACAGAGTCTGTACCGTCGGACATCAACAACCCTACGGACCGACCTGCCGACTCCCCGCAGTTTGGAACGTTACCAAAGACGCTTAAAAAGGTAAACGCCTATGTTTACCAGCCCCATATGACAGACTGGGTCTCCGTAACTCCACGAAGGAAATGTCATAAAGCCTCAGATTTCATCATCCGTAAGGTGTTTGATAACTGTTGTGTAGTCGTTTCTGAACATTACGTTCATGCCCCCTTGATTTTATCCTGTACCTTTCTGGTAGCGCCCTCTACTGGGTACACATAAGAAGCGTTTTTTTTTTTTTTTTTGCTTTACAGAATGGCCATGTGACCATTGTTCTGTTATCAGCTCGTAAGTGTCTCTCTCTCCCTCAGGATCACCCTCCAGTTCCCAACCAGCTGGACTCCAGCAGTAACCCCTCCTCCACCACTTCCTCCACGCCCTCTTCCCCTGCCGCCTTTCAGCAGAGCAACCCCCCCAGTGCCACGCCTCCCCCCAACCCCTCACCCAAGGGTTCCCGTGACAACCGCTTCCACTTTCCCGGTGAGTCCTCGCCAGCACCCCCATCCATGTTTTGTATGCTCTCCTCCTGTAGGGGGTGCCTTGCTGAGCTCGAGTGAGTGTCTGCTCTGTCACTTGATCCTCTTTAACAGCACTAACATAAACCAGACCGTGGGCTGCTGGAATGTGGGAATCTGAGTCACTAACTGCCTCTCTAACCTGGTATCTCTGATTTTCTCTTGCTCTCTCTCATTCTTTCTATCTTTCCCTATGGTGTTTTTTTTTTTCTTTTTTCTTTTTTTACCTCCATCTATTTTCAAGCCGCCTGCTACTTTCAGCACAGACAGCAGTTTGTCTTCCCCGGTGAGTTTCATGTCCTGCCCATGTAAAGTACATATTTTTATTGCTCTCGCCAGATATGAAGGCTTGCCCCTCTCCTGCTTGTTGGCGATTTATAAAACCAGAGCTTGCTTTCCTGAAAAGTCACTGGCATGGTTTGACACGTTCTTGTCACTGTGTGGTCTGCGTGTTCAGCTTGCATAGCTGGGCTCTCGCCCTAGTAGTGAAAATGAGCAACAGCCCCGGTCTGACCCTGTGTCTTGCCTGGTGTACAGTGTTTTCCACACTCTAAGCTAAAGCAAATTCTGCCAGCATATTTGTAGAATAACTGACATGTGTTTTATTTACAAAAACACACCTTTATCCTCCTACAGATGTCTCCAGTTTACCACAATCTGCAGCTTTAAATTGTGAGGGATGTCTGGACTCTGGGTAAGTCATGACTCCTCGTGTTGTTGGTCTGGTCTTTCATTGGAATCCTCAGACATTCTTTTCTTCTGAAAAATCCCCATGCATTCAATTGTGGGTCATGTGATTACACCTGCGCTGGAAGGCCTTGTTGTAAACCCTGTGGCCTGCCTCCTCAGGGAGACGGAGAAGCAGGGAGATGAGCATGGACTGCAGCATGAACAAGCCATGGCAGGGGTAGGTGGATGTGTGTGTGTGTGGGAGGGGTGTATGTATGTATTGAGTGATTGAGTGGAGTTTGGGTGAGGTTGGGTTTTTAGACCCTTGTGGACCTGGGAGGATATAAAGCCCACAGGAAAAAGTGGGGGAGGGGGGCTCAGTGCATTAATGCTGAGGTTTTAACGAGAATCAAATCCGACTGAATCTCTTGCCAGGGAGTTTTTTTTAAGAATCCCTAGCAGCTTTGTTTGTAGCCAAACTATGTAGCTGAATCAGTGGAAAGCTGGAAAACATTATCTTGTTCATAATACACCCTCGTCATGGACTTATATAAAGGTATCCAGCCTGAAAACGCTTCAGAAGAACCATAGCAGAGTGCCTGTACGTCAGTATGAGCCGGGTGTGCTTGTCTCGCAGGGGGAGGAAGGGGCAGACGAGGAGGAAGACCCAGGAGAGGATGGGGAGGGGGAGGGGCAGGACAAAGTGAGCTCGGAGGGCGAAGGTGAAGGAGATGAACTGGACGACCTGCCCAGCTCACGGGGCGGCCATTGGAAAGGCCCCATCTCGCGCAAGCCCAGTCAGACCAGCGCGTACCTGCAGGAGTGGGACATCCCGTTTGAGCAGCTGGAACTGGGCGAGCTCATTGGCAAGGGGCGCTGGGGCAAGGTACACCGGGGCCGCTGGCATGGCGAGGTGGCCATCCGACTGCTGGAGATCGACGGCAACAACCAGGACCACCTGAAGCTCTTCAAGAAGGAGGTGATGAACTACCGGCAGACACGGCACGAGAACGTGGTGCTCTTCATGGGGGCCTGCATGGTGCCTCCACATCTGGCCATCATTACCAGGTGAGGGAGGGATTGAGGGGTGTGGCTTTTCCTGATGTTATTCTTGTGGGAAGAATAGCTAGGATTGTAGCCAGCTTGGAATGATTCATAATAAATAAAAATGTCTGCCAAGCATCAAAGCAAAGTAACAATTAAAAACTGATGATTACGCAACATAAAAACCTCCTTTTAATGTGGGCAAGTATGGACATCTGAAGTGGTTTGGCGTGCCTCTCTGGTCACCGAAACTGTCTCCCTGATTATTCCTCAGCTTCTGTAAAGGACGGACACTGTACTCTGTCGTGAGAGACGCCAAAAACACACTGGACATCAATAAGACCAGGCAGATCGCTCAGGAAATTGTGAAAGTGAGCAACTGGCCCATATAGTAACGGATAGAACTTTTCTTATCTCCTTTCATTTCCGTAAGGAGGACATCTGATGGTATTTTTTTTTCCTAAGGGAATGGGCTATCTTCACGCCAAGGGAATCGTCCACAAGGACCTCAAGTCCAAGAATGTGTTTTATGACACTAACAAGGTGGTCATCACTGACTTTGGGCTCTTCGGGATATCGGGAGTCGTCCAGGAAGGAAGGTGAGGACTCGCTTTGGGCCTGTTTGGTTCTGAACCACTGCGCTAAATGGTACCCACTACCCACAGGTGGCAAATCGTGTTTTACCGTAGCATCCCTGGCTAATGGTTGCAGAAATGCATCGTTCCTATAGAGGGTGGTCCATGTGTTTGTCCGTGCGTCCGTATGTCTAGGCGGGAAAACGAGCTGAAACTGCCCAATGGATGGATCTGTTACCTGGCCCCGGAGATTGTGCAGCGGATGGGCCCAGGGAATGACGAGGATCGTCTCCCGTTTTCCAACGCCGCCGACGTCTATGCCTTCGGGTAGGAGCCGATGCCCATAGTTTCTGAGATAATGTTAAGGACTTCATATCCAGCAGGCTCTGTCTTTAATAAAATGAGATGACCGGCTCTCTGCTTGCGTCTTCTAGCACCATCTGGTACGAGCTACAGGCCCGGGACTGGCCGATTACCAAGCAGCCCGCGGAGGCCACCATCTGGCTGGTTGGCAGCGGAAAGGGCATCAAAAAGGTGTTGGCCGAGATCAGCATGGGCAAGGAAGTCACGGTGAGAGCTCCGGTCAAGAGGTCGGGTCGGGCGTCTGAGCCGGGAGAGTAGCAGCATGGAGCAGGAGGCTTCAGCTCTGAATAACTGGTGTTAAGCAGGTTCCTGGGAAGCGGCTAGTGTGTGATGGCGGCGTCTCCAACGGCAGGTCGCGATTTCGCAGCCGTCAGACGTGCGAAAGAAGCACACCGCCAGAAGATGCATTTCACACGTACATACGGGTGTGAAAACGAACTGTGTTAAATGACGGCCCACCTGTTCTGTCCCCCCCCCGGCCCCCCACCAGGAGATCCTTTCTGCCTGTTGGGCCTACGAGTATAACGACAGACCCAGCTTCACCCATCTGGCCGACATGCTGGAGAGGCTGCCCAAACTCAACCGCCGGCTCTCGCACCCGGGACACTTCTGGAAGTCTGCAGAGTACGTATCCTAGAGGCGGGATGGCAACGCACTGGACACTGAATGCAGTGCCCCACCCCCCTCCCCCCCTCCCAGTTGTGCTCTAGCCTTGGATGCACGGCCCATACAGGACCGGAAGCAGGGAATCACCACATATATGTTTGCACCATTGGTGATTGGGGTGGGGGCCGCTCCTTGTGAAAAAACTGGGATGCCCCAACACCCCCCACCCCCAAATCCCAAGTGGGCACCCCCACTGAATGTCATATGGTGTACAGTACCTGAAGCCTTTAGTGCTGATGATGTGCTCGACTCTACGCCAGGAACGGACAGAGATGGTCTTTCTTTGAACGGACGGATACCGTGTAACAGACTGATTAAAGGTCCTGCTGCATTCTGCTGAGTTTTAATTTTTTTTGGGGGTGGGGACAACTAAAACTTAACCGAAACTTTTATCATGTGCTGTTTTTCTTGTCTTTTGTACCATGGATAGTCTGCAATGGAATCGACTGTACTTTTAAACACAGCTGTGAAACCTTTTTAGTTATAGTTGTTGTTGTTGTTATTATTAAGATTGGGTTTGGTGCCACATAAACCACTGTGTCCCAGTGCTGTTACACCCACGAATGTGTGAATCGACTTGCGCTGGCCCAGCGTCTGCTTCAGACCTGCCGTTCCCGGAGGCCTCCTCTTCGCGGCTTCACACACGCGGCGGGGCGGCTGGATGCCAAGGGAAGTTCTTGCCAGACTGGCCGGTGGCACCAGAACCAGCACTAAAGAAAATGAGATGGGAAAGAACAGTCGGGCGGAACCCGAAGGTTCTGGATGTGGTTTCCTGTTTTCACAGAAAGTCTTAATTTAAAACCCCCCAGTGTGCGGCGAGTAGTGGGGGCAGTGCGTGTGAAAGGCACCGTTTCTGTGCAGTGAAGCGCACGTACTGTGACGGGACAGTGTGTGATTCTGGGTTTTTCTTTTCCTCGTTTTACTGTATGTTGGTTACACTCCTCTTCTGATTCCCCTGATCGGGCGCTTAATCAGATAAAGTTTCAACTTAAGACCTTCCTCTGACTTCTCATATTTCCCCTCTAACTTTCTGTTAACTCGTCACGTGCAGTTCCTCTGAACGCTCCGTCACTAACTTCCTGATTCTCTCCCACTAACCTCCGCCTTTGCTTCTCTTTTCTTCTCTCTCTCCTCTTCCCGTCTTTGTCCTCCCCCGTCTCCGATCCCGCCCCGATGTAGGTTGTAGCCGGCAGCGCGAATCGCAGGCAGAGCCTGGCATGCCACTCAAGCTGTGAACCTGACTTGTGCATCGCTGGCAGAGAGAGGCAGTGCTTCCGATGAGAATCTACATGGGGGGAGGGGGATTCTGGGAAACCTTGTCTCAGCCCCTTACTGGCAAAGATGGTTTTTGTTTTTAAGTACTTGTTTGGTTCATTTGTTTTTATATTAGTCTTTCCTGCTAGGTTTCTTCTCAGCTGCTGACACCGGCCACTTTATTCATATAAATGTTCTGTTTAATGTTCCTTTTCTCAGCCGCTGCAAGCCTACCTCTGTATCCTGCCTTCACTTTGGCAATTGTAGCAATTGTCTGTGCTTATCTTGTTTCTTTGTTTTTTACTTCCTGGGCCGGCTCCAGTGGAACCCTGGCTTCCTGAAAAGCTTTTGGCAATAGAACTATTTTCGTGGCGATTTTTGACCAAACCCCGCTCCGCCGCATACTGCCACCCTGGTCACGTGTTATGGGGGTGGGCGCACTTCCTGTCTTCCTGTTTCTTCCTGTTTTGGAGTCGCCAGTGCAGCGAGGCGGTTGGCGGACGTGTAGCGCAGTGCCAAGAGGTCTGTCTGGTTTTGCAGCGTTTTGTCTACAGGACTGTTGTTTTTGAGACTGTGGATCGAGTTCTCTCCCTGTTAGATGATGGGAGGCCACTGACCGCACGTGTTTTAAGATACACAATTTAAAAATCATTAAAAAAAAACTAATAGCAAGTGGGAAGAAACAACTACAACTCGTTGGCATGACAGTGTTTTTTTAATTTTTAAATCATTACCTCTTGTGCACTAGTGTTGTGTGTGCGTGTGTGTGTGTGTGTGTGTGTGCGCGCGCGCGTGCGTGCGTTTCGGCACATGATTGTTACAATTACCCAATGGCTACCACGTGGTTGAATGTACTGTTTGGGATAACTAGGGGTTAATTCTTGCAGTTTTGGAGAAGATCTATAAATATATAAATATTGTTTTATTTAATGTACAGCTAACATAATTCTTTTAATATTTGTATAAACATTTTATATTTCACTGTAACATCATAACATTTTTAAATAGGTACAACTTCCCCAGCAGTGTACAGATCTTTATGTATTTTTTCCATGTACAAAATGGTTAAACATAAATTATACATTTTTTAGAATGGGTCAATATGTTTTTTTATGTCATGTAAGAATTCATATTTTTGTATTGCATGTGGCAGCCATATTGTACACACAGGTTTTGTTTCCGTTCTTGAAAGACAATAAAGCCTCCTCATGTGACTCCGTCTTCCTCTGTTATGGGTGGTAGCATCAGTTTGTCACCAAAGGAAGCCGTGTTGGAAGTCGGAGCCCATACACTGAAGACCCAGCTCTGAAATGACTAAAAACAACCAGTGAATCTGTGGTTGTCTGTATGTCAGGTATCTCAGGGGTCTGACACAGCAAGGTTACCTCCCTATGGCTATTGCTTTTTGAAACAATGCTGATACCCACCCCCACCATAAACAAGTAATAACTGCCCTAATGACCTCTATTGTTTGTGGGGTTGTGGGAATACTATTGATCACACATGTAGAATGCCATGTTTGTATCAGTTGCCTTTTAGTTTATGACAGGGTGTTGGCCACCACTACCACCTTGCCTGGTGCGTGATTTGGCAATATGAAGTCTCTGGTGCTGTGTTCATGGTTGGTAAATAATTTTATGTTCTCTGCACTTTGTACACTCTTCTGGGAAGGCTTTCTGCAAGATTTTGAAATGTCTGGGAATTTTTGCCCATTCATCCAGGAGAGCATTTCTGAGGTCATGCACTGGTGTTGGACATGAAGGCCTGGCTCACAATCGCCATTCTAGTCCATCCCAAAGGTGTTCCATGGGGTTGAGGTCAGGGCTCTGTGGGGGTCAGTCAGGTTCTTCCACACCAAACTCACCTGTGTCTTTGTGGACCTTAGTTCGTGCCCTTGGGCCCAGTCATGCTGAAACAGAAAAGGGCTTTTCCCAAACTGTTCCCAGAAGCACAACATTGTCCAAAATGTCTTTATGTATACAGTATAACCTGCCCCCCAATGTCAAACTCCTTCTGAATGTACAGTATTAGTTGTTAGATTTAGGGGAGGCCGTGTCATGGAGCACCTGGGTCAATGCAAGATGCAAACTAAAGGCTAGAATATAAACAGCCATAGATTTACAATCGCAAGTTGAGGCCTGGGTGGTGCCCGTAGAAGTCAGACAGGCAAATCATTTGCCATGTTTTGGCGATAGCAGGAAAGATGCCCACTCCTATTAGGATGAAGACCCTCCCGGTTATGAAAGCCAAATTGCTTCCAAAAATGCTCCCAATTATTAATAAGGGTTATGCTTTACCCACCTTGGGGAGGGTAGCCTACTATGGATTACATCCCCTCTGTGAAAGACTGATAAGTGATCAGAGACAATTATTAAATGTACGTTTTTATTAACTGTGGTGCTATTAGTTTAAAAATTGTAACTGGCATCCTGGGTCAACACCATGACGAATTCTGGCGGGCAATGTGATCAAAAAATGAACTTTTACCACAGACGTGGCATTGAGAAATTAGTCCAAGTTTTTTTTTAAGTTGACGATCCCCCTGTTTTTTGGATTTTTTTTCCACTCATTCGTCACAACTTTTTCTCAGACACATTGTATGCCGTTATAGCGCCACACCTCCACTCTGGTTATGTCCCAAATCATAATTTCATGATCAGGTTCCCAGAGGAAATTAAGCATTTCTTAAATATCTGAGATAAAGAATTTTGCCGGAATTTATTTAAATTAATTTATTTAAATGCTGTCGGAATTACTTAAAACGTACACATGTAAATAGTGTTTCACTTTCATGCTGAACAGAGAAACGAAACGGAAGTGGGCGTAAGCCATGCCGTTTGGAAACTTTAGATACTGAACTAGTTGTTTCCACATCCTCGGACTTAAGCAACTCAGGAGTATGGCACATTACAACCAGCAACCGTTTTTTAACCCAGTAAGTAAAATTAAATATAGCTTTAGAAAGCATTCTGTTTGAAGGATATATGGTGGTGAGCAAAAAAAGGCGAGAACAATCGAAATTATTTTCTTCTGTCTTGTCATACGATCTCCATAGTTTCACTTTGCATTTAATTCAGTATTTCAATGTTAGACTACGTGATTTCGCACCTTTTGACTTTACAGTACGATTGCAAGTTACACCATCTGACGTTATGCGCCCGTTTTTTCACAGACTGTCCCCTTCACCGGTTCTATTCAAGGTGGACTTCAAGACGGGAAAACAATCACCATTACCGGAAAAGTTAAAGAAAATACGCAGAGGTTCAGTACTGAAATTGACTTGATTGAAGTCTAAAACGGGTGCAAGTGTTGGAACTAGTTGTAAAGGTATATGGGGGAAGGGATCGTGTCCTCTGAAATGCGCATAAAATCTCATTTCTGTATCTTGTACTTTACGCCAGGTTCCATGTGAACTTGCAGTGCGGGTCGAGGGCCGGAGCGGACGTAGCGCTTCACTTCAACCCGAGGTTTGATGATTATCCCGAATACGTGGTCCTGAACACCTACAGGAGCTCAGCGTGGGGCACCGAGCAGCGAAAGTACGAGGCTCCTTTCCCTCGGGGCTCCACATTCACACTGACTATCATGGTCAGTCGTGAAAAATACAAGGTAAGAAGAATAAAACACGCTCTCATTACCATCATATATAGAATAGATCATATAATTATTAATCTGTTTACTGTGTTACAGCCGATTTTAATTTATACGGGGGGGTTGGGGTAGTAAAGGGTCATTCCTATTTTTTTTGTGGTGGGGATGCTGTAAAGCGGTTTGAGGCGATGTAATGTTGTGATAATGCGCTATACAAAAATAAATTTGTTTGTTGTTTGTATTATATGCACATTTCATGCCCCATCAAAAATTCCGTAAAGTACTGATATTACTTGGTTTGATTTTATGATATTAAATAAATAGACCTAGAGGTTAACTGTAATTAGTGTAATTACTTCATCCTCAGTTGATGACCAATGGGAACCACTTCATGGAATATAAGCACCGCATCCCCTTCGGTCAAGTGGACACCATCGCAGTGGATGGTGGAGTTGAGCTGGCCTCCATCAGCTTCCAGAATCCCACGGTGAGCTAACGGGCAGGTGGCTGTCAGTGTCGGCATCTATCCATCCCTCTCCTACATGTTTTGTCCCCGTTTGGCCAGCAGGTGCTGCTGGCCATCCAGTTTCCTCCTCTGTCTTATAGCCCTTAGCCCTAGTGTGTCTCCCTGTTTCCCTGGCAGCCATTAAGGGATGAGCGTGCGGCTCAGAGACTGTACCCTCCAGTCATGGGTTCGAGGCTGGCTGGAGGACTGCCTCATCTGTTATTTCACATATTTTTCTGGTTTTGTTTCCTAGTGTCTGTTATTACTTATCTTTGTGTCTCCATTTTAACTTATCCTGCTTGTGCCCTGTTTTATTATGTTCTGCATGCGCAACTGTTCCCAGTCTAGTCCTTCCTATTGTTGTTAGCCTTTAGTGTTTGTTAATGTTTCACAGTTCCATGCTTTTTAATTGCAACCCATCCCACCGTTGTTGACCGTAGTCCTTTTGATTATTTTATTTGATTATGATTTACACCTGTCCCTTGTTTGCCCTGATTCTCTTTTTGTTTTTAAGTGCTTGCAGTCCCTTTTTTGTGCTTTTCCCTGGTGTGCTTAGTGTTATTAAACCCCTTTGTCTCTGAGCTGCTCCGTGGATCCCCACTGTGACAGGCGGCAACCTGAAACCTGTGAAATGGGACTCGCTGCTCATTGCATTAATTTGTAAGATCTGAAAAGAAATTAGTTTTGTCGCGTGACATTAAATGCTAATGGCGTTTTTTTTCCCTCTGCAGGCTCCACATATGCCACCACAGCAAGCATTTCCTGTATGTATCAACTTGGAATGATTTTACCGAAAATGCACAGATGATCAAATCAATGTCAGAATTGACATAAAGTTTCAATGCTTTAATTGTTGCCGATCGCCTGACACATTTGTGTTTTTGGTGTGTTATTGTAAAAACGGTTTTATTTTCCGAGCTCATGTGTTGTCATTGACAAGACATACTGAATAGTTGTTTTTTTTTTTTCTTGCTTTCTTTAGTCTTACTGTACTCCCACACAAGCTTTTCCTGTAAGTATTCACACACTAACAATGCTAACTGAAGGAGTGGTATGGCGCTCTGCAATACTTGGCTATCAAACACACAGAAAAGATGTCGCTAATTTGAAGGGTGTTTAATTCTAACAATTTTAGCTGCTGGTTTAATTGAATTTCATTACCGAAGCATGACAGTCAGCTTCAGTTTTTTTTTTCCATATATTTGAGTTGTCATCTGTCACATTAGTGTTACAATGAATATTTTTTATAGTGATTTCTCATAAATGAAATGATCATCATGGCTTCTGGTTCATGGTGCATTGTCCAATTTCTGATCATGTGATCATGATTGCACGTATGACTGTCTTAGTGTTGGCACGGTGGGTCAGTCTTTAATTTATCACTGATCCCTGATACCAAATTTTATCCGTGACATTCATCTTGGGTTCAGCTCACAACAGCCATTTCTGAAATTTTACATTTTGACTTGCAGCACAACTTTTTTTCTTCTTCACGTTATTGTTAAAAGAGTTCATGTGTTGTGTCACTGACCAGACATTTAATAGTTGTATTTTATTCTCACTCTCTTTTAGTCTTACTGTCCTCCTCCACAAGCTTTTCCTGTAAGTATTCACACACTAGCAATGCTAACTGAAGGAGTGCAGTGGCGCTCTGCAGTGCTGTCGTTAGATGTCATGAGACGCCTTAGGGCAACTGGGAAGAGAACTCTATGAAAAACAAAATGAAATTAACCATTTACAACAAGGGAAATCATATTGGAGAGACAAATACTAAAAAGTGAACTAAAGATACTGTACAATTGTGTTCGCTTCTAATGAATGCAAATAACGGTGTGTTACATAAATATTATTTCAGTGAAGTGTTTAGTGTGTTAACGTGTGCAGACCTTTTGGTAAATTATTAACAAAATGACTTTCTTTACTATTTCAGCCACAGTATGGTGCATTTCCGGTAGGTACCACAATTTAGCTTTACTATTTAACACACAGAATAGACACCGCTAATTTGAAAGATGTTTTCTTACCATTTTTGCAGCAGATTTCATTTATTTACAAAATGATGACAGTCGGCTTTCTATTTTTTATGTGTTTGAGTTGTCATCTGTCACACAGGTTTGACAATGGAGATTTATTTTTATATTGATTTTTCAATACACTAGGAATTACTACATTAGGAAACTTAACTCGGGACAAAAAATACACACAGAGAAAACCTAAGACCAAGGAAACCGAAACAGAATATAAACACTGGAGAAATGGAAACCCAAATAAACACTAAATATCACATGAGGCTAGCCATAGGCCAGCCTCGAACCCGTGACCCCCGGGGTTTACAGAGTGAACCACACATCATAGTCCAGGAAACAGGGAAAATGCATCAGGAAGACTAGGAACCAAGACAGAGAGGGGTAAAGGTAGCATGACCAGCAATGCCTGCTGGCCAAATGGGGAAGGGTCATAGAGGGTGGGGTTGGACGGTCCAGACCCTGACAGTCTGGCTTCTGGGTCATGGTGCATTTCCTATTTTCTGATGAAATGCAATGCATATAATCATGATTGCGCATGTGTTTGTTTTAATGTCGGCATGGCAGGTCAGCAGGTGGCGCTATAGCTTCAGACTAGAGGTCTGCAACAGGGCAGGACGCTCACGGGACGCGGCACAAAAGCTTGCGGCGTGGGTCTGCATTTGAGAGTTTCTTGCGGGAGCGGGACAGAAATTTGTGGGAGCGGGATGAAAAATCAGTCCCGCACAGACCTCTATCTGGGACGCCGGCAGAATGGAAGCGCAATGAGCGCACTAACTGAGGTTGGAATAAATGCAGAGCCGCGCCACAAATTTCAATGTTTCCCTATATTTCTCTCATTTTGACGGTGAAATGTTTCTATTGAGACTGTTTAGATATTTTTTAATTCTGGTCTGTAGCCTAGTTAGAAACGTTGTTGGTTGTATTTTTTTGTGGAAAACTGTTTTTACCCTTATATAAAAGACATCTTTAATTCGCAGCCGGAGTCGTGCCCACATAATATAGACTATGTTTCATAAATTCCTGTAAGTCAGTTAGGCAACAAATAAATTTGGTACCTTATTTAATCTTTTTAAGCCAAGATAGGGCTTTTCTAAACTTTTTTCGCTTTATACCATTGCATGTATTTAGCTGTTTCTTTCAGTGTAACCAGGAAACGATACTGATTTTTGCTGGCACATGCTATGTATCAGATATTGCTGTCAGAAAAGCAGCTAAATCCTCAGCGTTTGGTCTTAAGTGACTAGGACAGTGTTTCCCAAAACGGTCCTCGGGGAACCACAGACAGTCCACATTTTTGCTCCCTCCCAAGATAAAACATGGACTGTCTGTGAGTCCCTGAGGATAGTATTGGGAAGCACTGGACTAGGACATCCTGAATGGCAGCCAAAGTGCATCACGATGAAATGAGTAAATATTGTGGGCTGGTAGAAAATTATTTGGCCTCTTTCTCTCCCTCCCTTCCTTCCTCCCTCTCCCCAAATGAGCAAATTTTCAAAACTCACCCAGTCCATTTTTGGTGTTTTTTTGAGACAAGACTGCAAATGACCTAAAGTCAGGCTTCCTCGTCGTATGTTACAGTACTGAAAACCAAAACTCACTGAGTCCTCATGCAATCCAATGAAGAACTTTTATTAAAGAGTGAGTTTTGGAAATTTTGCTCTTCAGTTACCAATCTGCTCTCATAGACTAGAACTGAAAGTTTTTTTTTTTTAATTCATCTTTCTGCATATTCCTTTTTCAGGGCTACTTTTTTTGCACATATATATATTTTAAAGGTGAAGGTAGAAACTTTCTTTCTTTTATCCCAAAAGCTTGTCAAGATTAATTCATGGGAAACATAAAGAAAGGTCACAATCAGAAATGTTTTTGTTATTCTGTCAGACATTACACATCATTTGAAGAGGTGGCTAAGAAAATATCCCCTTACAGAGATGTAGTTGACTTTGTACCTGACTGTGATTTAATTTAATATTGTTCCCGTAACTATTTTACAGGCCATGCCTGGATATTCTCCCTCCTTTGTAAGTACACCCCCCTCGATTTACCATCCAATAACCATCGTTGCCATGGTGCTCACATCACAGTGGGCGTGGCCAGAGTGTCCTGGTGACACCAGTTGTTTTTTGTGTACCCAGGTCATTCCGTACAAGGCCACCATACCTGGTGGACTTTATGCAGGGAGGAACATCACCATCCAGGGCGTGGTCCATCCGGACGCTAAAAGGTCTGGTGCGAGCAGGATCTCACACCTGTGTGACACAGGATAGGGCTGTCAGAATGCAGTTTCACAAGTTTAAGTAGTTGTTCACCCGTGACATTGACGAGTCACTTTTCACTTTATGCACTGGAAGCAGTTTTTTCAGCCTGATGTCATTGCATCAGTTCATAAGAAAGGCTTCCTTCTCTGAATCATAGTGTTTCGTCCTCGAACAGGTGATTGTAGGTTAGAGGTAAGGAGACAAAGGACGGGAGAAATAAAAATTAATGCCTTGTTGACATCTCTGCTCAGGTTCCACGTCAACCTGCGCTCCCAATCTGGGATCGCCCTGCATTTTAACCCCCGCTTTGATGAGAATGTAGTGGTGCGCAACAACCAGGTGCAAGGCAGATGGGGCACGGAGGAACGTTCCGGAGGCATGCCCTTCAGCCGAGGCCAGACGTTCACGGTAACGGGCGCCACCTCTACTCCTTTCCCATTGAATTTGCTGGAGGTCTTGTGTCACAAGTGTACTGTGGTTGGATACTGAAGCATCTTCCAACTGCTTCTCCAGTACAGGTTCGTGGGGAGTCTGGAGCCTGTCCTAGGCAGCATAGGGCACAATGCAGGGGTACATTCTGGGTGCGATGCCAGTCCATTGCAGGGCATACAGTCATATACTCAGGCAATTTAAAGATACCGATTCAAAATACTTGGGCTTGCAAATGTCTAAACCCTGAATGTGTGAGGTAACAGCTCCTCAGGCTGAGGCATGTGCCACCCCCACAAGACAGAATAAATAGTTATACTGAATGCAACCCCAGTTGGGACGCTGTGTAAAATGTAAATAAAAACAGTATGCAGTGATTTACAAATCATATAAACCCATATTTAATTGTAATACACGCTGAATGCGGTTTGGCATCGTCCTGCTGAAATATGCAAGGCCTTCTCTGAAAGAGACGTCGTCTGGATGGCAGCATGTGTTGTTCCAAAGCCTGTATATATCATTCAGCATTAATGGTGCCTTCCCAGATGTGCAGGCTACCCAGGCCATGGGCACTAATGTACCCCCATACCATCACGGATGCTGGCTTTTGAACTGTCTGCTGATAACAAGCTTCTCTTTAGCCCAGAGGACGCAGCGTCCATGATTTCCAAAAAGAATTAGAAATTTTGATTCATCAGATCACAGGACAGTTTTCCATTTCGCCTCAGTCCCAACTTAAATGAGCTCGGGCCCAGAGACGTCGGAGGTGTTCCTGGATCGTGATTAGATATGGTGTCTTCTTTGTATGGTAGAGTTTCATCCTGCATTTGTGGATGAAGCAACGAACTGTGTTCACAGTCAGTGGTTTTTGGAAGTGTTCCTGAGGCCCATGCAGTGAGTTCCACTATAGAATCACGTCTGTTTTTAATGCAGTGCAGAATGGGGGAACCAAACAGCGGTTAGACTGGAAGGTCTGTCGTTTCATTAGCAGGAACATACAAGTAAGGCAATGAGGGGATATTTGGCAGGGATGATCATTTAATTTACAACTCCCTAGACCAAAGATTATTTACACTTATACAATGGCAGTCAAAGGTTTGGACACACGTACCCACAGAGAGATTTATTTGTACTGTTCTCTACATTTTAGAGTAATTATAAAGACATCAAAACTATAAATTATGCACTGAACAAAAATGTATTTAAAAAAAATCAATTTGTTGACGGGGGAGGCAGCTCTGTGGGTTGGGACTCAGAAGGTCACTGGTTCAAACCCCTGGGTCAACAGAGTGATTCCACCATTGGGCCCTTGAGCAAAACTCTTAACCCCTATCTCTCCAGGGACTGGCTGGCCCTACTTCCTCTGCTACACCAGTTCAATGAGGTGGCCTCCTGGGATGCTTTTCCAGCTGTCCTGAAGGAGCTCCCACACATGCTGGGCACTCATTGGCCGCTTTTCCTTCACTCTCTGCTCAAACGGCTCCAAAACCATTTCTACCATGTTTAGGTCAAGTGACCAGGTCATGCGATGTGACAGATTATTACTCTGCCGGCTGCTTGGTATGTCCAAACTTTCGACTGAGGTCATTTTGGGATCTTTTTTTGGTCTCTGCTCTGGAGTAGGTACTTTTTGCTTGACCAAGAACTACTGGGTGTGGCTTATGCTAATAAACTTTGCTGATTGGTTGTCACCTGGAAGTGTGAGGAAAATAAGTAGTGGAGCAAAAACTGAGCAAGTGTGAAGTTTAACCTATGAGTATCTCCCATGCTCATTTAGCATAAAACTCTCAGTTCCTGTGGTGTCGTGGGAAAGCAGCAAAGGACAGTCGCCAAGAAATACAAAAGTTCCCAGTCAAGTTGGCCCAGGAACTAAGCTCATGAACTTAGGTCGGAAAGTGACTGGTGTTTCCTGCCTTGTTCTGTTTTTCGTTAAGCTCCAGGCTTCTCCCAGTCCTGTGGAGCGCTTATGAATGGATGAGCAGAAAACATTACTGCCACTATGGATATTAAAGCCACCAATGATTTAAATGTGATAAACTCAAGTAACCTCAGATAAACAGGAAGCCATGTCACTAGTCACGCTTTGCTTCTCTGTCTTCAGATATCTGCTTCTTCTCTGAGGTCTGTTTCTTCTTTTTCAGATGATGATCATGTATGAAAATCAGTTCTTCAGGATTATGGTCAATGGCGTACAGGCATTCACCTTCAACCACCGCCATGGGACCTCAGAGCCAAATGACACCATGGAGGTGGATGGAAATGTCACCTTGACCTCAGTAATGTTCTGAGGAAGACAGACCTGCATCTGCAAGTCAAAGTTGAAATAAATTCAAAAGTAATTGAAATTATCCTTCCATTTTTGCCAGAGGCTTTGACTACATTTTCTTTCATACATAATACAATATATTTGTAATCTATTTCGTAGATGCAATGTGCTAGACATTTTTAATCTACATTTTAGAATTTTATTTGCATTTTACCATTTATATAAAGATTTGTTAAACATTTGCTTGCTGCAAGATCCAAGAACACTTCATTTATGCTGCTTTTATACAGTATGTATACACCTCTCATTTGTTGGTAAATGTTTTTATATGACTTTACTATCTGCCATGTTCAAACTGTGACCTGTCATTTCATTTGACCCTTTAAGGTCCAGCTCCATTAAATATCTACAATTCATCTTTCCTGCATAATTGGTTTTGCCTGTAAAGGATTTCATCTACCAAACCATTATACCCACGTTACTGGTGATCATACTGGTGAGGAGATTCTGCTGTACGATCTGCTAGCCCAAGTACTCATACTCCTGTCCCGGTGTTGATTCGCTAGTGCTGTTGCAAAAGTTCACCTCCAGAGGGCAGTGACAGTCCACATTGGCAACTATCAAGCCATTTCTTCCATCCCTAGTTAATTAAAGAACATTTTAAAACAAATTTGAGGAAGCACTTCTTTACACAGCGTGTAGTTAGAGTATGGAATAGTCTTCCTGCTAGTGTAGCGGAAG